CTGATGAGGACCGGCCTGCACAATAATCGGAATGCAAATAGTGCAAATAAAAGATTTTAACTCACGAAAATTTGCACACAGAGGAAGAAAAAGATTGTTCTCTTGGGGAGAGATTTCAACACAGGTCAAGAAGAGAATATAATTCGTAGATTAGATGACGGATTATAACAAGACTGGATTACTGCAAATCTCGCACCGGCTTCAGCAAACTAAAATGCAGAGGACATTTCAAGAGAGCAAACAACCAAACTTGCATTATTCGGACTCTTAGCCTCATTGCCATATCCACAACGTTTCGGCCGTTGTACGCTCAGACCTTCTTCAATTGATTAGAATTTCGAACCGAACGCTTATTTTCGCCCATCGGGGTAGATTGTTCTAGTTCCATGCCACTTTCAGATGTCTCAGTTATCTCAACTCTCCGAGATTTCGATTCACCACTGCTGTGACCTGGTATTGAACTCAGAACACTTTGTGTCTAGTCACTGGCTCTAACCAACGTCTTTATCCACTGGGCCATGTGTTTTAACTTGTTGTAATCTTAGCATTAATGAAATAGTGAGATGAGGTGTTACATATATTTGAAATGCTTTAGGAGTTTTCATTTTATGGAAGAAAACAACTGGGAAATTCACTTGCCACCCAGACGAGAAGAACTCGCAAATGATATTTTTAGAGTGAATAAATCAGTAATTAAATCAACGTAAACACCATTTGATGAGAAATTAATAATTCAAGAGCTATTGACGTCATGCAGCGTTTCGTTTTTTTATTTTTTAATCCTATGTTTAGCCAATTTAAACATCGTGAAGGTGTTGATTCAAAATCGGCCTTTCAGAAAGAATGAAACTATGTCCAGCAATGAGAGTGAGCAGAACATATAAGCCAGTAGACAACTAATAATTAGAACATGTGTATTTTTATTAGAACAACTTATTTCTCGGTGATATATATATATATATATATATATATATATATATATATATATATATATATATATATATAGGTAACTACACTCGTCTCGGAAAACCTTTGGTTTCTTGATTTGCTAATGGTCAAATCAATCTCGAAGGAAAAAAATGTTTAAAAAAAAAGAAAGATCTATGAACATGAACGTCTATCGAAAATAATCGTACAGGATACAGGTCCAAAGCCCAAAGAAAAAAAAAACCGATACGAGTAATCAACTAACTTAAAAGTGCTCAATACAAAAGTAGAGCTGACCTAGTCAAACCTAGAAAGCCAGACAAACCTACCAAGGTTTCACCTAAGCGGATCGTCAGAGGAACCTTGGTAGATTTGTCTGGCTCACTAGCTTTGACTATACACTCACACTCACACACACACACACACACACACACACATATATATATATACCTAAACGGATCGTCAGGGAAAGCTTGGCTAACGAGGCAAAGAGAAACACATATATTTATAGGTGATAGCTAAAAATCATACCACGTGACAAAAAAAAAAAAAAAAAAAAAAACACAACAACCTAAGTGGGGGGGTAAATATTTATTCAACAAAAAAAAAAAAAATCCTCAGTAGAAAGTCAATAACGGGAAAAATGTCTAATTTAGTAGCCATGATTTTTTATGTCTACATACATTGAGAATTTCAGTTTTAGAGTTCAATAGTTTCGAAACGAGTCTAGTTATTTATATTTATATGTATATATATATATATATATATAATGTGGCATTGGTGGTATCGAATCCATTCTGATGCAATCACAGTTCAGATGGGCTGGTCATGTCATCAGAATGAGTGATGATCGGATGCCGAAAATCCTCATGTATAGCCAACTTTTTCATGGTAAACGTAATGTACAACGTTCTAGGTTTTATTAAAAAGAAGAGAAGAGAAGTGCTGCAAACGTTTTTGTTGTAATGTGGTTTTTTTAGAAAAAAATATTATGTTTTATTTTCCATAATTTTACTACACGTGTTTCTGGTCTCGCGACCGTCTTCAGATAAAAGGCAGAGATTTCCACATATTACTAAAAATAATTAATTTTTTCCTTATGTTTTTCAATGTTAAATATTATCGAATGTATATATATATATATTTTGTGTTAATAATCCGAATATATATATATATATATATATATATATATTTGGCGATTTATTTTATAAATGCCTGCTTCAGAAATATTATTGCTATCAGTGTTTGAGGATCTGATTATATCCATAATTTTGATTTTATAAATGGCCACTTTCCTGCCACTTCTTTAGCTATTTACAAGCGTCTTTGTTTTAGCTGTTGCTCTCTTAATGCTTTGAATGTTTAAGGTATATATTTATTGAAACAAAGCAAGTTTAGTTGACCATTGATGACAATTCCAGAAACTATAAACAATTTTTTTTGCTATCCTCTGCCAGCCGCAATGATGGAAAAAGCATTATCTCGAACCATGGCCAGTGAGACACGCTGCAAGAGCCACTCCGTTTCGCGAGGCTCATCCCTTAATCGAGACGCTATCGCGCCAATTCTCCGAAGGAACGCCATCGAACGAGGGCCAATAACCCCTGAAGTCTCCACTGCCACAGAAGTAAAAAAAAAAAATCAATCAGCAAGAAAGAATATTTAACTATTTTTTTTTTTTCATCTCTGCGTCCCGGGCGACGGACCCCGGCTCGGCTCAACCGCGGACCTGATCAAATTACCGGCTGAAAATGTATCCGCATAGGTCGCATCCTAAATCAACGACTTACCCATATTAAAAGGGAAAATAGTAATGCCATACGGCCGCTTTCCATCACCTCGGTCGAGGCCTACGGGTTCGATTTGGTAAGGGAACCCAGCTGCATCCAAACCTCTTTTGATGATGTCGTTAATGGCTGCATGCCATGAAAAGCGGCCGGCACTACGACGACAGGCATTTATAAAAATAAATTATATGTATATTATTTTTGTATATTATTTTTGTGTTGTTTTGAATACTAGTAGTAGCGTTTATTTCGAGACTTCGCGCGCTGAGCGCGGTTGGAATTCGAGTGTCCATTTTTTTAAAAACTTTCTAGTTATGAGGGATGTAGTTGGGCAAGTTATTATTGACTAATATTTG